CACCTATTTTTGAAATCATGACTGATTTTAATTATTATAAATATTTTTATAACTCTATGTTAGTAATAATATACAGCTATAACCGATGCCCACATTTTCACTTAATTAATTGAGCTTTTATTTTGCAATAATAAAATATATATTTTTAAATATTATTTTAATTTATTTACATTTTAATTTATAAATAATTATTAGAAATAAAAAATATTAACCAATAAGCTGTAAGTTTAATTTTAAAAATGTATAAAATAATTTTATGTATAACTTACAAATAATAAATGGTTATAACAAGAATATCATTCGATTATCATCTAGAATATAATAAATTATATATTAAATTTTGTAATGATAATTTTGTTTATTTTATAATTATCATTGTAATTACAATTATTTACACTTGCAATTATTTTTAAATACACTTTAATAAATGAATAAAATAACAAATTACTATTACCAATTATAAAAATACATGATATATTTTGAGGTTATTGTAAAAATTTAATACTTATACTATAAATTGTTAATCTTAAACTATCGTGGAAAAATAACTAACTTAATAATTTATTGTATGATAAATTAATTATACCAAAGGTGCCTTAAAAATATTTAACAAAATTAATTATTTTAAAATATTTATTTATAAATTAGGCTGTTATATTTAAATTACATAAATTGTGCAATAGTAAAAATATATAAGTACGGTTTATTATTAATCACCCTATACTAAAAACAAATATAATAAAATATGTTGAACATTAAAAAAAATATTATGCTAAAAATTTATGCTAAAATTATATACATTGTTTCCATAGAAAACATTATTAAATAATATTATTAATTGGCAAAAAGTTACTACATATCTAACTATTTCGATCTTATATCACATGCAGTTATATTTTGTTTCAATAATAACTTACCCCCTGCGTAAAAGCCACTTAAGTTTAAGAATCAATAAATTTCTACTTGGTAAGTATAAACCTAATTAAAAATAGGCTTATAATAAATAAGCCAATATCACTATTATATCATAAAGTATGTTATCATTACTGAGCATTTATATTAAGATTAATTCAGCCAGGATTAAAAACGTAAAATTCACCTAAATGCACTAGCTTAAAAAATTATATAAATTAAATATACATACAGTGAACATAATAAAAGCAAGTTTAAAATAACATGTCTAAAATAACAATTTTACTGTGTTTGATAACCATTTCAAGCTTGGTACACACAATTGACCTAGACACTAAGTATATAGCATGTTTAGACCGTATACCTAACGATGTAGCCGAGGCATGCCTCTACTCAAAACTGGGCCCATCCAAAGTTGGCGATGATAAAGACCGACATCGTATTTGTTGCTCCATATGGTCGGTGATTGACTGCGGCCGACAATACGAACAGGTTTAGTTTTTATTTTGTATTTTTAAATACCTTTATACATTATAATATAGACTTTTATTATTAATTGTCAATATTTTATTTTAACTTGTTTATTTAATAATTAATTTTTTATTTATAATTGGTAGACATATTGTGCCCCAAAGGAGATTGATGAGTTTGAACGCCAGGCCGAAAACTATATTGCCACCGACTACGAGGGTATTTGCGCTAGTTATAAATATCATCATTTAGAAAATTGTTTGAGAAATTCAACTATGTAACTTATAAACTATATGTCAATATTTGTCCTAAAATAAATATTTGAATAACATTTGAATAACATTTTATTAAAATAAAATGGTCACTTAATTAATTTAGTAAGTATATTAAAGAGCGAGAGCGAGAGCGAGAGCGAGAGAGAGAGNTAAAAATAGTTTTCATTTGTATTTACAATTAGTTGTGTGCTATGTGCACTGAAGAGTTTAAACAGACTACGGTGGTTTATCAATAATTATTACAGAATAGTACATTAGCAATAGTACCTTAACCAAGGACATATTTACTTACATAATAAATTATTAATAAACTGTTATTGTGTAATATTTAAAATAAAGTATAATGTTTTATATTAAATATAATAATATTTCGGCTTCAACATCAGCACAAGTTTAAATAATCAAGTCTAAACAAATATACTATAATTTTATAATTATAATTAGTGTTTCAATTTGTATTTCTATATAGGTTCATGATTAATTTTACATACGTAATTAAATAATATAATTATAAATTCTAATGGCCTAACTTTTTATATATTTCATAATTTTTTAGTAAATACATTGTTAAAATTTTACATCATTATTACATAGCGCTGTAATAAAAACATTTTTATTAAAAATTTACGTGAGCTAGTGCATTCTGGCGCTGGGGTTTGGAGATAGATGTAAATGATTATTAATCCTCAGTTGTGTTGCTATGTAAGCATATCACATTTATTGCTAAAATTGAACATGGATGTTACCAACAAACCATAGAATAACTTCAAAAAATAATTTAAAACGAAACTCCAAGTAATTAACAATAATATTAATAATTAGGTATTTAACATAAATATAAATTATAAATAAAATGTTAAATTACTTAATGTAAAAATAGTTTTCATTTGTATTTACAATTAGTTGTGTGCTATGTGCACTGAAGAGTTTAAACAGACTACGGTGGTTTATCAATAATTATTACAGAATAGTACATTAGCAATAGTACCTTAACCAAGGACATATTTACTTACATAATAAATTATTAATAAAATATACATTTAGTTTGGCGTTTCCCTATTTAGTATATAACAATGTAAAATTTTATTGCATGCACTATTTGTTAACAACATTTTTATGAATTTATTTATACATTGTTATTAAATTTATTTAATTATTTATTTTGTGCAGTTAAAAGTAAAATTCGCTATTACACAAAAATAGCATTTAGTTAAAAAGTAAATGTAATTAAACATACAACATGCTGGCGCTAAATGTGGTAACAATTGAAATGCCCTTGTAGCAATTTTCTTGGCTAAATAAATTTTGTGCTGATATTATATACCATGTTGCTCTTATTATACAAGTATATACTGTATATTTGTATAATAAAATGGCAACATGGTCATTTTGAGCATTTTGTAATTTTTATTAATTGTTTATTCAAAAACTAATTTTCATCCAAGTTCATATAAATTATATTATAATATTTTATGACAACATTTTATTAATTTTGTTGATGTTCCACATTAACTACTATAAGTGGTGCCACATTACCTTAACGCATTTTGTGAAAAATCTGATATAACCAATAAAATCATTTTGTTTTTTAATTTATTGGCAAAAGTTGTTTATACTGGTTTTGAAGTAAAAGTTGCTATGTCAATGTACCTATTAATCCGGATAAAATAGTATAATAGTCACTTTTTTTGTTTAACTTCATCCTAAACTATATAAAATAGTATAACAATTTTATTTATTTTTGTTTAATAATAAACTTGTAAATGTTCTTGTCAAATAAATTATAAAATTAAAATATATTATATAATTAATTTACGTGTGTGTTTTATTGTAGTAATATTTAATAAATTTTGAATAAATAAAATATATTTATTTTTAATTAATAAAAGTCAATAAACAAATAGAGGTAAGCAATTATTATTAATTGTGGTAATTTAATTTTAGACAAAACTTATATAGAATTAATTTATAAAAATACATGTTAATAAATATTTAAACAAATGATAAACAATAAATTTTTATAACCTTGTTTTAATTACAAACAATAAATAATATAAAAATTATTTTAATATATAATAATTTATTTTAATGAATATAAGATTAAAACAAATTTAGGTCTTTAGTAAATAAAATTATATAAATAAATTAGCAATAAAAAATAATGAGTTACTTTCAATACCGGCATATTTAAGATAATGATTTAATTATATAAGTAAAAATATTTTTGAGCATATACAGTACATTAATTGTATACTGTACATTAATTAATATAGTGATGAGTCTAGACGGCATATACATGAATGTAATATACAGTATGTATTATATCGCCGACTCAATACCCATAAATTAATATTCAATTATTTTTATGCATATGATTAGTCTCCGCAACCGTATTATACCGTATATAAGATACTCACTTTGTGTAAAACATGTGCACTTCTTATTGCATACGTCGAACACTATATGTAATGATATAATTATAAGTAATCCATAATAAAGGTGACTTATACATGCTAAAAATCTAAACACATTCTGATCATTTTAATTAAAAAATATGTTGTAATAGTTTTAACAGTATCATCATGGTATCTGAGATGGCGATCGCGTGGACAGACCTTAGGGTTAGTGTCGGGTCGGGAGTGTTGGGCGGGAAAGAGAAGCGGATATTGTGTGGCATTTGTGGTGCGTTTACGTCGGGATCGTTGAACGCATTAATGGGTTCTTCGGGTTCCGGGAAATCAACGCTTTTAAAGTGTTTGAATGCTAACAATGAATACGTATTGAGTGACGGGTCGGCAGTATATGTGAAAAGTGGTCAACAAATCAGTAAATGTTTTATATATCAGGACCAAAACGAGCGCATAATGACGGGTCTGACTGTAGTCCAGGCGCTCACATACTCTTCAAAACTTAAAAATAGTGACAAAGAAAGTGTTGAAATGATTGACCACAAGAATAATGTGTCGGTTCTGATGGAGGAGTTGCTAATCAGTGATATTGCAGATAATGTGATAGAGAAGTGCAGTTCCGGACAAATCAAACGCATTTGCATTGCATTGGAGTTGACATCAGTTGTTAAGCCATACCTACTGTTCATCGATGAGCCGACCACTGGTCTCGACACACACTCAG